GACTGACGCGACACACCAGAGGTGATGATAGGGAGGTGGTGGACTTGTTTACATACTCCAAACTGGACGCAACTAGCGCGGAGAAATAAGCACGAGCCACAAAACGCAAGCGGCAGACGCACAGTAATGACATGGGTAGACTGAAGGCTGGATAAAAAATTCTCGCGGCTGTCTTCATTCACAACGCGCACAGACACAGGTCTGGGTAAGATGGCGTCTCGCTTGAGTTTGAGTATTTTAATAACAGGAGGACACAGAAATACTTACTGGGGCTGGTAGAACTCGCGCAATAGACGGATTGCCTTGACCTCGGGGACATTCAACAGCTTGGAAATATCCTTAAATTCCAGTCTTTGAGAGAGTGCCGGGGAGAATCGTGCATCAATCTCACTTCGGGGCTCTTTACGGTAGAACAACTCGAGGAACAAGGCCTGCGCACCTCGGCAGTCAACGAAACACCGACGAAAAGTTCCGGATCGGAGTCAACTCCCTGTTGATTTCATACTCTACATTGCGAACCTTCATAGCCTCATAGAGCCGTTTGTGTATGTTCGTCTATTGGCGGGATAGTCTGGAGTCTAGTTATCACTCGTTTGATACGTGGTACACTCACTGTATGAAGAGCGAGACCGCTCCCAGCGATCAAATCCACTTTGACAATAGATCGACTCCAGAGATATGGCGAGCCCGAGTCTTAATTGAAGATACCCTTTATCGAGATGGTAGCCCAAACACCATGATTGACTGCCCACAGTGCCAGTCCTAAGGAGAGGAATAAGTGTCTAAGTTACTGATCTTTCCCTACCCCTTGGGCATTGCACGCCATCCCTCTATCTATATATCGCACTGAGGACAAAGTATCGAACATGGCGCACGAGTATTATCTGTAGTGCTGAATATAGCCCTCAGACATGACTTGATGAACTGGCGGCAAAGCGCCGTCAAAGCTAGTAGCGCGCGATGTAAGTGGTTGAGAATGTCGTGCGGCTCGTGGAGTTGTTATCGCAAGTTCATGACAAGTATAGAGAGTGAGATCTTGGGAACCCACCAAACCCTCCCTTATCTGATTCCGAAGTAACAGCCTATTTTTCGCGTCTGGTGCCCATAAAAGACTCCAAATATCCCTACCAATGCTTTCACGTATTCTAGAGGGAGAAAAACGCGTTATTCAGGCTATATCACGCCAAATACTCCTGAGTAACGCACCTAGTAGAGTCCCATCACCCCGCCCAACCCGTGTCTGTGCCCTGTTTCATTTTCCGACGTGCAGTGCGGCTGGTTTGAATAACATGTCACTGCAGTGATACTAAAACGGACGGATGGATATGTTGACAGAAAAAAGATGGTAGGTGTGATGGTAGGGGAAAACAGACGAGAGGCTGGAACGAACAATAGGAAACTGGTCAGGCCAAATAGTTGTCAGTAGTAGACGCACGGACCACACATGCTAATGGGCCCGACCGCGCCAAATACCGTAAGTTTTACTTTGATATTGGGAGGGCCTGGTCAGAGCAGTGAATAGAGTTCGATACAGTGTGTACGTAGCAGTAAAGCTCCGTTCTATTCCCTAAGTTTATCAATACAGGACTCCCAGGAATTTCAGAAATTAGATTTGATGGACTGACCCCTACATATGGTTTGATGCGAGTCCAGGCCATCCAAGATCCTCCAAAATCATCCCATTGGGAGTGCTGAAGCTCAGCGCTCAAACGTCATCAGATGAAGCCGAGAGTTTTGTCCAGAGGGGACCCTTTTACCCCGGACATCGGAGCCAGTGAGGAAGTGTTTAGAAGATGGTTCACACGCTCAGCTGTGGGTGCTTGCTTGCCATCTCGACGCGTCATCTCACTGCTTCCCTCGCTTCTACTCTCGCTCTCTCAACGTTTCCTTCAACCTTTGGGTGCAAGATTCGACAAGCATCAAGGCTATCGTGATTGCTTGGAGTTACTCGGGTGTCCGGTGCGTGGTTAATTTCTAATTGATTGTAATCATTCTGACTCGGTGTCTCTGAATGAATATTTAACTTGATATCGAGCTGGAGAACAGAGTACCGAGTACCTAGAGTACCTGAACGATATTCGACATCGATATGGGACTGTGAGGAACTGGCAACAGGCGATATGGGTCAAATCGGACAGCTCAGGACAAAACTGGACAAAATCCGACAAATTTGGGCTAATCTGGATTCTGGACCCGAGTCTGGAAAGAAAAATCTCGTCACTCGCAACTTGCAAGCCTCTCCCAACCTCATCCGACTCCCGAACTTCATCCAACTCCCAACCTCGTCCCACTCCCCAACCTCATTCAACTCCCCACCCCCACCTGATTCAGGCGCATTATCGACTTTCAGACATACTCCACAGCGCCGCCCTCTTGAACTCGGATTTCAAAAGAAATTTGCTTCCCGATGATGTCAGAGCATTACATTGCTGGATCGCCAGATTCGGTTGATGGTCTGTGCGTCCATAGATTTCTTATTTATAGTAAATTATACCCGCCGTGTTCAAACTGCCCCTCGTTGCTTCCTTTCTTCCCCCCACCATTACACTTACCTCTCTTCCTCAATTCCAACTGTCATATCCATCATCAAATAATCAAAGGCCCGTACTGCGAGTATGAAGAGTGGGTAAAAGGGTGTAATACACTGATCATTGGGAGATCAGGGAGCACTTTTTCTTGTTTCTAAAATTTGACGCATTTTTATGCTGTCCATTGTCATCCGTCTAGCTTTTCTTGGCGCGAATCATAGGCAATCGGCTCAATGTTGTCGGGTAAAGGTCTCATTGAACTCATTGGATGGCAAGGGCATGTAAGTGTGACGCTCAGACGCTCGGAGACTTGGGCTGCTAGATACGTGAATACTTGTACTGCCTTGTAATCCTTACGTGTACAGAATGATATGAATTTTTCGGACAACAGTGTACAAGAATGGACAAATACAGGCTATCCAAGCTAAGCTAAAGGAGGGGAGCTTACTCTTCCAACTTGCCCCAAATTGTACGAATTTTGTCCCAGGTTGCTTGTTGTTGTCCATATCCTTTCCGACTTACTGACATTCTGGGACAACGGGGGGCAAAATCGGGCAGATTTCGGGCAGCCGGATTTTGTCCCTTATTGTCCACGGAAATCCGACTGGGGGTGATGTGTCGAGGGGGTCAATTTGAGTATGATGCTCAGGGTGGGTCTGTGAAGTCAACAAATGGTCAGATGTGCGGTGAAAGTGCGATGTAGAAATAGAACGTACGTTCGGGGCCTGATTGTCTCGCTAACAGCCTTCCTTTTACTGTACCAGAAGCGAACTAAAACCCATGAAGGGAACCTGGATACCGACTAGTCGAACGGCTCACTCGTGATCTCAAGCTGATGCCGAGGGTGCCTTCCCTGTGCCCATTTTAAGAATGGACTCGGGCATTCGATAGCAGTGGAGGGTTTTTGACTGACGTCGTCTCATAGATTCTGGTTTGTCGATGGACTCTATTCAGGGTCATTAGTATAGAGCCCTCCAAGCAAGGCGACAAGAGAATTCGCACCCTGATAGCATGGGGTATTCTTCAGCTGGCGCTCATATGGTATCGGCGAATCTCCTTCTGACTTGTGACACGTCATGGAGAACTCGATCATAGCTAGGATACCGCGTCCAAAGGTCGTTTTAGCCCAACCAGAACCTTTGATCAGAAAGGGAAAGAGCGATGATGGGAGAGACAAGGCGACGTGAAGGAGAACAAGGTTGCGCTTTGAGTGGAACCGAAGATTACGGGGCGGCTGGCAATCACCGAACGCACGGACCAACTTCAGGGGAGGTCGATTTTTCAATCGAATTTGGTAGTTATTGCCCCGAACCCCACTCGACGCTCGACGACAAACCCGTCACAAGCTCCATTAAGCAGTTGCCATGTCTCCGACTACATTAATGCAGCGGAAAATGGTCACCTTCGTCACGATGCGTTCTTAGTCCTTTAGCCTCAGTAGCTCCTCGCAGGTATGTCCCTGGTAGTATATCGGTTAGTACACGCGCCTGTCATAAAACTGCTTCTAGTAGTACGCGCGAAAGCTGGGTTCGACTCCCAGCCAGGGAGATGTGACAGTATAGTCGGTGGCAAGTTTCGTTTTTTCGAGATAGATACTCAATCCATGACTCGGCCCAGAGGATTGCCGCCTACCAAGTCACCATCTCCTCTTCACTCGACTTGGGTGTATCAACGTTTGGATTCGTCTTGTGGAGGCTTGAGGTCGGGGCCCGGGGCCTAGTTTCGCACACAGACCGAGACGACAGTGCTCCATACCGGCTTTTTGGTGGCGAACTCGAGAGAGGTTTGGAGGTTTAACTTACATCGTGATAACCGGCGTATTTAGCGAGACCTGAAAAACCATGAATACCGAGAGGAGTACTTGTTGCTTTGCCACGAGGTTGACACCATTGGTGAAAGACTTATTTTGTGGATTATGTTCGATGCTCGATGCTTAGGGCTTGGCCTTAGGATGCGAACGATGAATTATTTGAGTTGCCATCTATTACATCAAATATTATTGTGAATTGTACTCGATAGCCACCAGACTCTGGAGCCAAAAGTCCCGCATTTGACTCCTTGCCCTACACTCAACGTGCAGTTTATCACAACTCATTGACGCGAGCCACTTAGGAACGGTTGGTAGTGGATGAGAAATGTCAGCGGGCTTTAAGGACACCCTTTGACTCATACGAAGGTGCCGTTTCATATCCGATGTGGTGTAGTGGCTAACATTGCTGTCTTTCATATCAGTGATCCTATGGACGTACACAGCAGCCCGGGGTTCGATTCCCCGCATCGGAACTCGCCCATGCACATACTTTTATCCTCCATGATTCAGCTTCTTCTATATTATGCCACTGGCGGCTCTGATCGAAGATTCAAAATATTTACCGCCACCACTGCCTCACTTCTCTACCTGTAAATGATAGATCAAAAGGTATCCCGGATGCATAGTTCATCCTGCCGGGCGAGAGTCAATGATGATCACGGTAACCCCCTGAATGCTATTTATATCGACTCTCGTATGTCCAAATTTCGGGGCTACCTGGAGAATGAGCCTGGTAAGCCTGTCTGATGATTGACCATTTGGGGGACTTTCTGTCTTTCTCCTGATCATTGGCTTGAGTATCTGGTTCAAATTTTCAACCATTTGACAGTAGGATATCGCGGTCAAAGCAACCATAAAAATACTTTTTGTCCCCGTTGATGGAAACCATGTGGACTCCGTTAATGAAGAGCTTACCTGATGCCTTGTCCACATTGATTCGGTGTTAAACACGCGAGTCAGATCAGTGTCCCCACAGCCTTTGCTGCACTAATGACAACATGTGAGACGAGGCATCAAGATCTAAAGTCAACTGTGGATAAAGGGCACAGCAAAAGAACAGGAAGGTAGCCAAAAACTGCAGTGGGAGAGCTTGAAGCGGCGATAACGGATAAAGGAAAAGTGGGTTGATAGAACCTATTCCAGCATGATCCATCGTGTCTCATAAAGGCTTAAACTTCGCTTCCTGACTTCAAGGTCTCCTTCGTTTGCTTCGTATTCACCGGTCCCGGGCATCTTTACCTAGCACTGCTTACTCGTTCCCCATTATGACCCTCTTGGAAGATCGACTGAAGCCATGGTTCACCACTGAAGTTATGATTATCCAGCCGATCGTGTCTTTAACGGTGAGTACTTCAAACGTACGCTCAAGTAAACAGTTCTTGACGGGATATTATAGGTGACTTGGTTCGTCTACGGTGCGTCGTTACATTCGTGTTCAACATATTTTTTGAATCGTCCAGTAACCTTCTTGTACCTAGGGTTCTACATTGCGCTATTCCTTGCTGCCCTCAAAAATTTATACAAATACCGACGAGAAAATCAGGCCCTCTACATCACATGGACCACTCTTTTGTTTCTGTTGTGCACCCTCGACAACGTCGTGGAGACATGGTATCGAGTGCGGCAAGCTATCAAGATCTATACTGGAGAGCATACAAAGGACTACGCATCGCTGCAGGTGTACGCAAAACATGATCTAGTCAAGACCATCCAGAGGTGGGCCTCTAAGGTCACTGTATGCTTGGCCAGACTCTGATAAATCGTGTCTGATTCCAGGGGTTTTCTGATGATGCTGCCCGTCCTGTCGAAGTAAGCGAGATACCCTTTCATGCTGCAACAGTTCGGCCGTTGCTTATCTTCATGACTATCAAGCCTTGTGGCTGAGTCGATGCTGGTATGTATTCCTTGAAGTCGCTCCATACCGTCGTATGACATCTCATGTCTGGTTGTAGATTCATCGGTGTTACCTCGTGTGGTTTGGTAACAAATGGGTCGGGATAAGCCTTGTCGTGATGTCCATCCTTTTAAACGGTGAGTGGGAGTACGTCAATCATGCTACGTTACTCGTGTGCTACCCAGCCATTTGCAGCGGTCGGTCTCTCGGGCTGCGTCATGTTCACGATTGGATTTCGAGATACACAATACGAGGGAAATATTTCGCTTCTTCTCAAGGGCAATAGCATCAATAACGGATATTTGATCGCGAATGGGGTCTTCAATACCATTTTGACCGCGTTGACCGGTAAGTAACCCTTTGATAGACCCAAATCCTTCACGCGCGAGTGCCACTGACGCTGTCTTTGCTGTGCGTGCTGTAGCTGGTCGAATCTATATGATTACCCACGAGGCAGAGAAATTACTCCAATACCGTACCAATCGAGTTCGCAAAACGGTGGTGGCGGTCATGTACGTCTCTCATCCCAATCTTCCATGCTTCCACCATCTAAAATGATTTGATAGAATTGAATCAGGACTGATATATCCCACGTCACTTATTATTTACCTCGTCATTCTCTTGCGTCTTGACCCGAACAACCAGAGCTTACTCCCTGTAGACCTAAGCCCTGTGTTTATGCAAGCTGCTGTACGTACTGTGGACTCATCCTGGCCTTCGAACGTGACTGTTTATGCTCTCTTTTCATGCTGTAGGGAATCGCTCCGACGCTTATAATCGTCCGTGCCCTACAAGGAAAGACAACCGACAGTGTGGTGCAAGTTGTCTCCGCGAGAAACCGTGACTTGTTGGAGACGACACACGCATGAGATAGGACCAGACTATAAACTGGTGACCTAGGGGTCTACTATATGAAAGGTGCCCTACTAAGGTCAAAAGCTATATTGGAGGTGTGTCGGGATCGGAAGAGTCATCTTATGGCGCTAATGTTGCTTGGTATATAACTGAGGTCGTGTATTAATATTTTGGTTCCCCACATAAACATAAACCATAATGCGAGCAGGACTCGAAATCAAAAATCAACACAAAGCGGGAGGATCCAAATGACCGACCCTCGTGTAGAATATACCTTCCTGTCCTGACCTCTTCGCGGGGCTGGCGCTCTTTACGAAATATGTATATAATCTATTAGAACGCTTTGGGAACGCTGTGCTAATGCCTCTGTATACGAGGATCCGGGGATCCACTTTCACAGGTTCGGAACGAAAAGCTGTCTTCGAGGTTATGTTCATGGAAGGGAGTCCATATCAGGTTACGCCAGCTTGTCATCCCGCATAATATGAGATGGGCGTGATGTGTGTGATAGGGGTGTAAATGATTGCCCATGGACTCACCGTCGGGGTTATCATTTTGAGGGTATTGAATGCCGATACGATCAGACACTCCATCACGGCATATAGTTCGTTAGTCAAACTCCACAGTAAAGCGAGAAGCTGCGGTCGATATCACTTGCTTACTCGTTCAAGGGTACTTTGGAGGTAATGATATCGGAGGAAATGAGTGACGCGCGGATGGTCTAGGTGGTTTAAAGGGCGGAATGACCACACGTCTTGATATAACCGACCGTTATGATTGTGTTGCATATGTGTACATTTTCACGCCGTGTTTTTATCTTTCATGAAGGCTCTGGAAGTATGGTATAGAAGGGATGGACATGGATGTGCTGCCTTGATGCCCACCTTGTGTGCACGACGGGGCGCCGCATTGAAACTGTTGAAGCGCTGCAAGCCGCCCAATAGTGCATTCGTGAGCGAGCCGTGGTGGGGATGCTGGGATATTTTACAATTTTTCTCCCTGCCTTTTTCTTCACATGAAATACGATCATGTGTATTCGCCCGGAATCCATCCAAGACTAACGACCATTAGTACCAGTACTCAGCTGCACTAGTACTTATCGGCTCGAGTGCTCCCAGTAATAGCCGCATGCACCTAAAGAAGACTGCAAGGTGAACCGATGGTGATAACGAGCGCCCATCGGTTTTGACGGCCCCTCGAGCTTGATAGGCTGCATTACTGATGCGAGGATTGTCTCGGAGGAAAAGCCACTGTGTCAACGCTCTCAATGCCGCGTCCATTCCCTCTTTTCCGTAGGAATATACCTGCATCCATCAAGCCAGTGACGGTGAGACTCTGTGTTCTCTCGTTCACTTGAGGTGGCAATAGACCAGAGCACGGTAAAGTCTTTGCAGGGATGGGCAGAAGGGAAGGGCTGTTGTTGATTTGTATAACGAAATGGTCGCGGGATCACACCGTATGTGAAGGTTTAATGGATACATGATCATCACGACGTCGGAAGTTCGGAGATGATTTCAGATTAAACAACTCAACTAGGCCGTCAAGTTGATTGAAATCCAGTACACAAGCGCTCACTTCCCCACGGGCTATACCATGATCCTTCGAGAAATCTGATCCAAAACGCCACCCTACGTTTTAACGTCTCGATTCAAAGGTGAAGGTCGAGACTGAGGAGATTCAGAGATGCTTGAGGACATTTGAACGGAGAGGTAGGTTCCCAGTGGTTCTGGATCGATCACTGTCCGCGGTAATTGACCGCATATTGAAGCCGTTGCCCAAGTTATGTAAATGGGACGCCCGAAGGAGGTACAGATGAAGTGTCCCATCGAAGATCCCCCTGATCCGGCAGGGCATGCCTCGTAGCCGGTTTTTTTTACTACGAGGTTTATAAGCCGATAACTTCTCAAGAGGGTTGCCTGCCCCTCCTTTCATCACCACCGTTGAAGAGCCGTAATGGCCTCAGACAGTATTGAAGAATACCTCGACCTCAGACTCACGGTCCAAATGTCATAGTGTTCCCCATTGTGACTCCCTCGGCGAGTCACCCCCATTCTGAACGTCGGGTTCTGCGCTTTCTCAGACCATATCCTTATTCTGCGGTTAGTGTTCCACTGATACACCAAACTGTCACTTGCTTACAGCATCACTGAGTAGCGATGTGCACCATCATCTTCAGACTTTGTAACCACATCCTCTATCGTCGAAAACGGTCTGTCTCGGGGCTATACCTACCTTGCACCATAATGCTGTTTGTTCTGTCCACACTGTATGTGGCGATAAATACCTTTGGTCATCGTTGGATCAGTTCTCAAAGTTCCGTCCCCTGGGAGATGGACCACTGGTAATCTGTGCATGTGAGGCACGAAGAGTCAGTTTTTTTTGTGGCAACGCTCTGATCAGATATGAGAAATGCACAGCTTCATCTTGCCTACTTAACTATCAAGTCCGTCCTGTCCATGGGTTTTATCGTAGCCTCGGTTTGAGGCTGTAGCGCAACCGAGACTGAGCCATGTGGATAGCTCTACGAGAGGAAGCCCACTTTAACTCGTTGCTCACGTTCATCATAACGCTTCCTCGCTTTGACATATCTGTTAACGACGGACGCCTCGTTGATAGTGAGAAATACCGCATTTTGTTAGCTCACCTAAAGCCGTTGGACCTCCCTAGAGTACGTCGTGAAGGCAACAGAGGGGATAGAGAGACGTGATGGAGGAGGTGGTCGTGGTTCGGAGCGAACGGTTTGAAAAGAGTTTGGTTTAGAGTTATGAGTGACGCTCGCAGACATTATTACGGTCGACAAGGCTATTTCAACCTGTCAGAAGTCTTATGTATCTGTGATGTTTCTATGCTGCTAGGTAAACGGTGATGCAACGGGGGTTATAACCGTAAATCCTGTTTTACTGATCATCTCCCTGGTAGTATATCGGTTAGTACACGCGCCTGTCATAATGAAGGGAAGAAGTTTTCACCATTGAACGCGCGAAAGCTGGGTTCGACTCCCAGCCAGGGAGCTGGCAAGAGTAGAAAAGGATTTTGTTCCCTGTCATTTCTATCCCAGAGTTTTGTATCGCGGGAGAAGACTGATAGGAGTTGGTATGATTTGTACATGACCCTGACTTCACGACGACTCGCTCACCGCAACCTTGGGTTCGATTCCCCGCATCGGAACTTTGCAGCATACCGGGCAATTGATCCTTTTCTACTTGCGTATGCACTCTGGCCGACCACTTACTCTATAAACTTATTGTTTCAAGCTCACGAAGCCGGGGTACCTGCCTGATCCGGGGAATTTGTTAGGGACATTAAATCGATATTTTACTCATAGTCATATAGGTCAACACAACGAATAGGAAGACGTCGAAAGCGAAGAAGCAGAGTTCAAGTGCCAGAATAATCAATCTACTCGAGTGTGTGACAAATCTGCTCTCCCAGCGCAATATATTTGGCTCGACCTGAGCCTATATCAGTCATGAAGGACATCGCTGTAGCTGGATAGAACGCACACCGACCCCCTTTAGTTCAAAAATATCACAAGAAACATCGGACCAGAAGCTGGCGAATCAGTGCCACAATCGAACAGAAGGCATACCTACTGTGAGCCTGAATCTCTCCAACTCATACCCGACAAGGTCCCCCCCAGAAGTTTTGGGGGAGACATTCGTTCTCCCGGTCGTCGTCGACCGGAAGATCATCAGACGAGGTTCACGCCGCGAGTGTTGTAGGCCGCTGGCCAGCTTGACCTCATAACGAGATGACTAGGATGACTGTATGAGAGGACAGTTGCGGACGATCGTCTTATCGAGAGGTGTCGTGTAGCGAGAGTGTATTGTGTCGGACTAAGGGATGAATAGCAGGGAGACAGGTCGACGTGAGTCTCGGATTCGTTCTTGCTGACTGAGAGAAATGGGGTATCTATGAGAGATGAAGAGTCAGATTTGATGGAATCGGCGGCGGCTGAACGAAAACATACACTTGGACCTCCCTCCGTTTCTCGGAGGGTCATGTCCGCGGGCCAGGCTCTACAAAGGATAGTAGAGTTCCGAGGGCCAACTCGAGTTTCAACGCCAGTGGAAAAGGGGCAGCACAAGAAGTAACGAGACTGTATCTTTGAGGGGAGAAGTGTCAGATCCCCTCGAGCAACTACCTGCGTCGAGAAGACGTACACGTTGCCGTCGGGATGATCATGAGCCAACAGCACCTATTTCCTCTGGCAGAATGTTGTTACGACTTCCTCGAGGGTGATACTCGTCGATGGCATCTTCTTCATGTACGCGCTGTCGCTACTCGAAGGGAACGCCGGGTCCAGGAGGCCATCGCCGTCTTTCCTGTGAAAATAGTATCAGCTAGGATGTACAGGTCAACACAAAGAGTTTTCCATGAAAATAGAGCTGTGCTCATAAAGATGGTTTCAGAACCAGAAGGCAACGCACCGTCGTTCAGCGAAGACCCCGACATCGGTTGGCATCTACCCACAACCAAGATTGCGTCACCAGACGGAACCCCCACCTGATCGTTTTTGATACTCACCCGAAGTCTTGAGGACACTAAAGCACAGGAAGAGACAGAAGCCCCAAGGCGCGACGTAGATTGAGAGGGGAAAAGTTGTTGTGGTTGGATGGAAGCACATCCAGAGAACCGAACATGAGGCGTCGGCAATCTCCGAACGCACGGACCAACTTAAGGGGAGGCTCAGTATTAATGGGCAACTCTCAAATAGTGTATCGCTGATTGGGACTCGGGCTGGTTCTAGTTCGATGTTCTGCTGTGCTCCTCTCGTGAAATCCCCATTCCTACCATAGTGGGAGCAATGCTTTCGCATGTCCCTATCCTACGAAGCCAGAATCGACTCTAGGGTATGAGAAAACCCATCTTCACGAAAAGAGAGGCATACGCCTTACCTCCTAGGTGAATCTGTAAAGATGAGAGTATACGGAGCATTTGCTCACACGCCCCTCTCAATATAGACAGTCCTCGGGGTTTCCTCCCTAACTTATCATATTCAAAGAAACATTGACTTGGAGATGCCTCGACTCCATTTCTATTTCTCAGCCGTGCTTGCCCAGGCGCTTCACCGCTACAGGAGTGAGCACACGAGCAATCCATATCGACTGACCTCTTGAGAGCGCTTCAACTATAATTCAAGGTGATCAGAACAATGGGCTACACGATATAACAAGTTGGTCCAGCGTGCATGGAAAGATTCACAGGCTCTATTCATCAAACGAGCTTCAGGGGGTTTCCTCATCGGTCTACCACCGGATCTGGGCCTGAGATACTTTATAACTGCGCCGAAACCGTTATCTGAGAGTCCGATGTGGTGTAGTGGCTAACATTGCTGTCTTTCATAAAGTTCCCCATTTCTCTGAATCACAGCAGCCCGGGGTTCGATTCCCCGCATCGGAATCGTCGCCCTTCCCCTTCTTTTTTACACACCCGAGCAGGAAATAGATACAGTATATCTCATGAACCGTAGAAGGTTTGCGAAAGTTATTGGACACTGCATCATTACCAGCACTTCTCAAAGAGTGTCAGATATGACGAGCTGGAATAGTAGTAGAAAGAAATAGTCAGTAGAAAACGTCGACGAGGTAAATCAACAGTGACCGAATTGTCGTGCTGTCATCGAAAGAGGGTAGGTATTGAGAAGTACACAAAAGACATGTCAACGGATATCTACTCGTGACATGCTCAAACTTCCAAGTTCATGATGTGCATGACGGCGGGCTCGCGAAAGAGAATGCCGAACGCTCGGGAGAGAAGGTCTTTGTGAGCAAGGGGTACTGCAGATGGATGATCGAGTCTGTAGAGAGCTCAAGTAGACGTTCTACGTGCTGGAGCGTGTGAAGACGGTTGTGCCGCCCGGTCGACTCATGCTCGCTGAGTCGTTCTGTTTGACCCAGATGATAAGAGGTCACTGAATATGCGAAGCGCCTTCGAAATACGGACTCTCCACACTTCTGGAGAGATTGTAGACATCCGGTCAGATGTCCTTACTAGTGCCATTGTGTAAACCAGATAGATTTCTACTTCAAAGGACGTTCGAATAACACTGAGAGCCGATACGGATGCGGGAAGAAACGACAACCCGCGCTGTAACCTAACAGCGATCTGACAAAGCTTAGCCAAGAACGACTGATGCAGTCTGTAAGGAAGAGGGCCCGAATGTTTGATTCCACTCACCTTTGACGGTGCTACAAAATTCGATAGCAAGCAAGCCAGTAACTTGACAGGCACCGATGGTTCGTGCTGGTATCAGACAGCCCCAGCTGATGCCTACAGGAAGAGGGCGATGATATCCATTCAAGCCGGCTCTTGATGAAAGTGAGGAGGAGGATTCTGGCGGAGTCAAAACAGCGTTCGTACGCCCCGCTTGAGAGGCTGGTATGGGGAGAGACCATGGTCGGATCTGGAACCTCTAGGAGGAGAGCGACGTAATATGGGTGCTGCCATGACAACTTTTTCAAGTCGGTAAAGGTCACCTGTATTTTCTGAGGTGTTCTGAGGTGTTCTGAGGTGAAAATCTGCTTGAGTCGGGGCTCGTGATGGCTATGATCCATCGTCATTTTGGAGAGTTCGTGAACATGTGCATTGATTTTTGTAATAGCATTGTTGGCTGGATCTCGCTGCAAGAAAGGCAGACGTGAACAACGATGTGAGAGCTACGGATGGGGAAAACGGATGGGGAAAGCAGCGGTTAGGCGCACCATACTGACCTATTTCGATCAATTCGAATGTCACAGGTCACACAGCCCAAAATTTTCGAAAATTTTTCGAATGGTCACTAGGTCACAGGGGGTCTATTCGAATTGGGCCGGAATGTGACCAAAATTTCGGAGGGGCCGAATTTGATGACATAACACTGCCAGGTGTCTACGACGTATATTCCTCAAGTCTCTATATCAAAATACACTTAGTTCTTGGTTTTTATTCTTCCGCCCTGGCTTTGCCTTTGCATTCTCCTCAAGAACAGTCGCATCACAGCGTGTACTACTATGGGTGGCTTCCTCAACCTTATCAGACGGCACGGCGGTCCCGGGCCATTCGAATTTCTGAAAATGTCACGAGTCACTAGTCAACTATTTGAATACCCACTTTCGTATGAACTGGTCACGGGTCACAGGCCATTCGAATTGATCGAAATAGGTCAGTATTCTGGCAGTACCCGATCCTACAACC